GGCAATAAATGCTGGCCAGCCAGCGACGCCCACATCCAACGAGTGAATATAATTAAAGCATGACTCCAACCAAAGGAGAGTTTTACCTGATTCCCATTGACTCCAGTTTTACTCAGTCTCCTCACTACCACACTCAGTCAAATGTGGCTTTCATATCAGTGCAGTCGCTCTCATCCACCTCTGGAGTTCAGCTCTTTTGTCCATGTTTGAGCCAAAGCTGCAACGAGGTCAAGAACTGAGTGGTCCTGGAGGAACACAAGCTGGCAGTGAACCGGGTGTTGCTTTGCAAATGTTGCTTGATAACACTGGCAATGATCCCTTCCATCCACTTTGCTGATGATTGAGAGTGGACAGATGGTGGTATTTGGCTGGATTGGATTTGTCCTGCTCAAACCGTACCCGGGTTATTTTCCACATTGTCAGGTCAACGCAATGTTGTAGCTTTACTGGTAAAGCTTGTCTAGGTGCATAGCTAGTTCTGGAGCACAAGTCTTCAGTGCTATTTACCAGAATGTTGTCAGGGCCCATAGTCTTTGCAATATCCAATGTCTTCATCCATTTCTTGATATCACAAGGAGCAAATAGATTTGATTGAAGACTGGTGGCAGTGATGCTGGGGACTTCCATGGAAGCTGAGCTGGATTATCCAATTGGTAGTTATGATTGTGCATTGTTAAAAATGCTACAGCCTTGTCTTTTGCACTTATGTGCTGGCTGGGCCCTTCCATCACTGAGGATTGGGATATTTGTGGCGCATCCAGCTCCTTTTAGTTGTTTAATTGTCCAACATCATTCATAACTAGATGTATCAAGTCTGCAGAACTTATCAAATGTACAGTTCTGAGGAAGGGTCACACAACCCGAAATGTGAACTCTGCTTTCTCTCCACAGATGCTGCCAGACCTGCTGAGCTTTTCCAGCAATTTCTGTTTTAGTTGCTTAGCAAACATAAGCTCTGCAGACCTGCAGCATTTACTTTGTTATGGGATTGGTTTGCCCTGTCTATTGCACACTGTCTGGGATGTGAGTAGTCCTGTGTTGTAGCTTCACCAGGTTGACACCTCATTTTTAGGTATGCCTAGTGCTGCTCCTGGCATGCTTTCCTGCACTCTCCATTGAATCAGGGTTGATCTCCCACTCTGATGGCAACAGTAAAGTGGAAGAGATGCCAGACCATGTGGTAACAGATTGTGGTTGAATAAAATTCTGCTGTCAATGATGGCCCATAGTATCTCTTGGATGCCTAGATTTGATTGCCAGACCCGTTTGAAGCCTGTCTCATTTCGCACAGTGCAATACAACACGATGGTGGGTTTCCTCAATGTGAAGAAAATGATTATGTGATGTTCACTCCTACCAATAGTGTAATGGATGGATGAGTATGTGACCGGTAGATTGGTGAGGATGAGGTCAAATAGGTTTTTCCAGTTGGTGGTTCCCACAATGCAGACCCAGTCTAGCCAGTTTGTCCTTTAGGACTTGGCCAGTTCAATCAGTAATGGTGCTACCAAGCCACTCCTGGTGATAATCCCCCACCAGTACTAACTGTGCCCTAGCCACCCTCAATGCTTCTTCAAAGTGATGTTCACCATGGGCAAATGCTGACCCTACAGCTAAGGTTGAGGGTGTGGGACAGTAGGTGATAATCAGCTGGGATGGAGGGGGCATTGCTTATGTTTGACCTGATAGCATGAGACCTCAAGGGGTTCAGAGGCAAAATTGAGGGAAACTTCTACCCAACTGCATACCACTGTGCTGCCACCTCCAGTGAGTCCCATGGGTGGGGGTAGCCAGTGATCGTGATTGTGCTGTCTAGGATGTTGTCTTAAATGTATGTTTCACACCTTATAGAGATAGAAAGGTGTAAGGCAATGAAGGGATTTGAAAAAAGGAATGGAATTTATAATTGAGGTGCTGCCTCACTAGAATAAACGAAGTTCAACAACTGCAGGGGTGATGGATTAATTGATTCACTATGAGTAAGGACATCAGCAACAGATCCTAGGAGGGACACAAGGTTATGGATGGCTGAACATGAAATGTCAGCCAGGATTGCATGAGAATAATCAAGACAAGAGAAAACAAAAGTATGGATAAGCAACAGAGCTGGCAGAGTTGAGCAATGTTCGAGATGGAAATGACTGAGCTTAATGGTGATTGTGGGGATGGCAGTTACAGAATTTGGGAATTGGAGTTCTGGGATATTCAAAAACGCAGTTGTGAATTGGTGGACCAGAACACAAACACAGCGTGAAGGGTCAGCAAACATAGGGTTAAGAGTGAGCAAGACTTGATATGGGATAAGCTACAGAGTTGAGGATGAGCTCAGGGTTATGAGGGAGCAAAGTTGGAGACCAGCGAGAGAGTCTTGAACAAGTCTATATTTAAAAAATACTAGTGGATAATGTTAGCAGCAGCTAGGGTAGGATCGGGCATGGATAGGAAGCAGTTGCCAGACTGTAAAACAGATTGAACCAAATGATCTTAGCAATGAAGATAAAATGGTATAAGAAGCTAATCTCTGGGTCAAAAAAAATGTCAATGTTACAGAGGGTGTGGTACAGTCTCAGACAATAGGAATGGATGGTGTTTCAATCAGGGCTGAGGGGACAAGTTTATGGCAAGGTCCATGGTGTCAATTTTGCCTAAGTTGGACTGGAGGAAATAGCAGCTGCCCCAGAGATGTGTGGCAGATGTTCAGATAATGAAAAGGTAATGGAGTCATCAAGAGAGGTTGTGGTGAGGCAAAGCCAATTATTGCCTTTGAACATTTGAAACAGGGTTCTTGTGGGGTAGTGTCAGTGTCTCTACCTCTGAACAAGAAGGTCTAGGTTCACGTCTCACATTGGGTTTGTAATAACATATCAGAACTGGTTAATTAAAATAACTACACAAAGTTGTGTTGTTGCATGTTGTCACCCAGACTTAACACCTAGGTGAAGAAAGAGTCAAATAAATAAAGGAGAGATAACAAGGTGTAGAGCTGGATGAACACAGCAGAGGAGCAGGAAAGCTGACATTTTGGGTCTGGACCCTTCTGCAGAAAAGCTTTCCTGCTCCTCTGATGCTGCCCGACCTGTTGTGTTCATCCAGCGCTACACCTTGTTATCTCAGATTCTCCAGCATCGGCAGTTCCTACTATCTCAAATAGATAGAGGAGTTCCTTGAGGAATTTCAGAGGTAAAGGCGTCTCCCAAATCCCTGTCTTGCACCTCCTTGGGAATGCAAAGCTGTTTGGTTTTAGTTTTGTTGCTGGGCAGACTATTGTTAATCATTCATGACAACTGGTCATTCCCTTGTCTGAACATTATTTGATGACCCATGCCCTCCTGGGCTCCATAAACGGATTGTTTATGGAGCTTCCACTGTCATGATAACCTAACCTTTTCAGCTTCCTTCCCGCAGAAAATAAATGCGCGGATTTCAAAATCTCATCGCATTAATTTCACTCCACTTATGATTTCGTTATTTTAATGAACACTGCTGATATTAACATAATCAGGGTGGTCATGCAGATTTAAGTGGTTTAGAAGACACTAATGCATTAGTTACTAATTCCTGTCGGATTGAGTTAGCGTGAGAGTGACTGAGACATAGTGAAACATAAAAGAGACACACATTGGCAAAGTGAGGACAATAGAGGCACCGAGAACCAGGCAGAGAAACAGAGAGGACGCAGCGGGAAATAGAGGCAAAGAGCGAAGGGGCGTATGAGATGTTGACCAAAATATAGAGACCGAGACAAGGAATAAGAGAGATAGAGACAGAGGGAGAGAGGAACTGTTATTGGGAGGCAGAAAATGGACGAGAGACGCAAAGACATATAAAAAGGAGCTTGAAGAGGTTGAGAGAGAAAGAGGCACGAGTCGAGGATGAGACAGGGGCATGCACACATCGGACTCTATGAGGGAGTGAGACAGAGACATAAAGACACATGAAAAGGAGCTTGAAGAGGTTGAGAGAGAAAGAGGCACGAGTCGAGGATGAAACAGAGACAAGCATACACGGGGCTCTATAGCAGAGTGACAGAGACACAAAGAGGGGCTGAGAGAAACATACACAGGGACAGAGAGAGGCTAAGACAGAGAGATGGCCTGGGGTCTCATGGAGACAGACTAGGCTGCTGAGGTGGGTAGACTTGCTCTGCTGGTCTACTGATTTATAGCTGGAGTGATTAGCAACAGTGTTTTTAAATCGCGGCCGATATTATTCGATTACAACAATGCGGGGCGGGAAATGCGCAGATCTTGCTTCATCCATTGTGGAGACTTTTATATGAGACTTGTGTATGCGAACTGGAAACACGGAGCTGGTAAAGCAAACCTGTACTTGGACAGGAAAAGAAGCTTTCATAGTTACAACTCTCGGTTGGATACACCTAAAGATCGGGCCAATACAACAATTTAGCTCCTGGAATTAAATAATTTCTAAAATCCTAACGAGTCAGCGTTGTAATTAGAGTTTTCTGATTCGGGCTTTGTAGAAACACCGAGTAATCTGATCAACGATCATCAGATCTGGGAGACTGAGAGATCGATCGACAATAGCATCAAGGATTGCGAGCTAGTAGAACAAATCCTTTATCGAAAAATACAAATGGACTGCTCCGAATTATATAAGTAACGACAGGTAAACTGTATTGAAATTGGAAAAGTGTGAAAACAAGTCAAAATTATTATAGAAATGCCAGTAATTTAACTGACTCGCCCCTCCCACATTGATTTGAGCGGGATATTTGAAACAAGTTATAAAATGATACGAAAAGCCAGAATTAGAGATGGTGGCAATGTGAACGCAGTGTTATTTGGGGCGACGTGTGTTAGATTTCATTCCCATCGGCCCCAAATAAGGCAATTTGCTGTAACCAACAGTCACGTCAAGGTGTGTCAAAATGTTCACAGAAATAAACGATATTGGTTAATAGCAGAAACGCCGGTCAGTGCTGATGTTTTTGTCAAGGCTGTGTCCCTCCGTCACCCCACCCTCCCTGGAGTATTCACCGGTTGGTGTTGTGACTGCTAACGGCACTTTGCCTGATTCCATCTCCCCATCGTATCGGTCTCCCGTCTCCTCCGGGTCCCATGAGCTGTCAATGGACAGAAGTAAAAAAGAAAACCGCAGCATGAGACTGGGAATGAGAGAAGGGAGGGAGAGATCTAATGTGTAAATCAACTTCAAAGCAAAGGAGCGAGGATAACGTGAAGTAACATGAAGTAAAACCAAATGAATAACATGAAGTAAAACCAAACTGAGACAGAGGGTGATAATGCAAGAGGAGCGAAAATGCACGAAATGAGTTGAGGAAAGGTTTACTACCTGCTGCCTGTATATCTCTGCAATGGCGGGTTATGGTACTCAATGTTTTGTTGTTTAACCTGGAAAACACAAGAGGGCCTGAGATAACAAGGTGTAGAGCTGGATGAACACAGCAGGCCAAGCAGCATCATAGGAGCAGGTTTGTTTTGAATTTACTCGCCAAAGCAGACAAAACACGAAGCTTTGAGACTGGCTGAATGTGTGTGTTTCTGGAAGAAAGGGCTCTGAGTAGTCTAACACTCGCCACTGTCATTCTCCACATCCCTCACCCAGGTTAAAAGTTAGCAACACAGCTGTCTAACACGCCCAAACCAAATAGAGCGGCGTTAGAGCCAGATAAACAAGGTTCTTGAGCATCATTATACCTTAAAGAGGGTCAGCTATTTGTCTTGGCCCACTTATTCTATGTAGAACCATTAAAGGGTTAAACGTTAATTAAACGGTGTCAATAAAGGCAGCACGAACTAATGTTTCTGAGAGCTGGCGGTAAGAACAGTTCAAGGTCAGAACACAAACAGAATCTATAAACGAGATCATTTGTGTTTGTGATTTGCAGGCTGCAGTTTTGAAGCCAATAATTTTGATGGAACCGCATTTGACGTTAATTAAATGCGTGTTTGCGGGTTTATTCAGCCTTCCCAGGCGCTGTATTAGCTGTCGGAATTCTTTCTCCTCATATATATTTTAAAAAAACCCTCTTTATACATGGTTCCAGATAATTTCCACTTGAAATCCACATTTACATAATGTATTTGCTTATACAACTGACACGGGACAACCCGGAGCAATCACCGAGATATTTTCTCACACACACACATCTCTGCCCGAGGGACACCATTCCCCGCACATCAATATTAATTGAGGCTATCAGTTTGAGAATACGGAGACATAAATGTTCCAGGCAAAGGTTTGTATTAAGGCTCCTGAGCGTTACTGAATATGCATTCAGTTACCGTAGAGCCTTCTGATACATGCCCGCCACCCTATTGATTAACATATGACCGTGATATTGGTAAAAGGACGGGTCACCTTAAATCAATTCACCCAGTGTTATTAGCAATGGCCATCTCCCATCACCTTGTATGTCATAATCTATAACATGCCTACCCGCAACTTAGTTAATGAGACTGAACTAATTAGACATTAATTACAGTGGGATTCTGTGCTATGACTTTTTTTTACACAGTCCTGAATCTCTCAGTTTGGCAAAACACAGGGAAGCAAAGCGAGCTTGAAAATAGTTGATTATGGTGCATCGGGGTGGAATTTTTTTGTCTCTATTCATGCGTCGCTGGCTGACCAGCATTTCTTGCCCATCCCTAGCTGCCCTGGAACACGGCCTGAAAAGGTGCTGGGAGGCAGATTAGTGAGTTTCAAACGTGGAAGCGTAAAAATGTTTGAAAGGGATAAACAGCGTAAGAGTACTGAGGGAAAGAGGCTGGCACTCACTAGCACAGGTGCGATGTCTGGAATGGCCTCCTTCTGGGATTTCGTGGTTCTGTCTTATAATGTGTTAGCTCCATCAAGGCACAATAGTACCAAACTCTATAATTCAACCCGAATTAATTGCCAGTCACTGACCACAGAAATATCACTGTAAAGGAAAACAGCTCCCAATTTTTCAAATCCCACCCCTCCCTCCCCCGCCGTGTCTCTCGCTGATAATTATCTCCGATTATCCAGATTGTTCAAGATCAACTGTCTCTCTCAAACAATAAACAGAAATATTTCAACAACAAAAGGTTACATAAAATGATGTGCCTGATCACTCGGGCGTGATGAAATGTCTCGTTCGGAACCTGGGGCATCGGGGTCGGATCTAATCCACAGGCACGAGTCCATTTGCCGTGCCCAATGCCCCTGCTCACTATATCTGCAAGGGGTCTTGATAACTCTCCACTGCATCCTTAACCTCTAACATCTATCTGCTGCTCAGCGCGGCAATTACAGTGTAGATCCGGCTCCCTGTTAATACGAATATTCCAATCCTACTCCGACTACATTTCTTGTCACACTGGAACATGTTCAACACGCACGAATAATTGAGACATTGAGCGAAATCGTAAAGCATTCGTTTTAAATGACTTGAGGCGGCCACGGTTTCGCTTCATATAGCGCAGAGAACAAATGTACGCCAGTAGAGCTGACCTGGAGGGGCGACTAATTTAGGAGCTTAGACCAGTGCGTCAAGATATCCCAGTGAAGCTGTATATTTTAAATCAGCAGGTGATTGTGGTAGTCCGGGACAAATTCTTGTTGAAACTAGTAATGCTAACAAACTCGAGCGAAGATAGCGGATCCCACCAGACTTCCAAAGAACGTGTTCAGATTAAACCAGAAAGGGATACTAATGAATCTGAGAATTCTCACAGGTAGTACTGAGCTAGTCCGCATCTGAAGGTGAAAGGAGGAGGAGGGGTGCAGTGGGAGTTAATGTTCTGTGTTATTCCACTTATGGAGATATCACCTGGGACAGAGACTCTACAGGTGGCCCGCTCCCCATAACCCGCCAAAAAGCCTTTGCCTTTTTTAAATATATATCCAGAGATTGTTTTACATACTTTTTGTTAACTCGGTCTCCACATGAGACACCTGTTAATGTTTCAACTGTCCTAGGAAAGGGGTTGTTGCAAATTTATCAAAGCGGTTACAAGGAATATTTGCAGTAGAGTGGAAGACGCTTAAAGATTCGGGTTCGGGTCTCAATTCCCCTCCCGGTGGTATTTAACATGTACGAAAGAGTTTATTAAAATAATTGTCATGGGACCAAATATTGGAAATGTCTATTTTCCCGCTGAAGACCAGCTTAATATGAATGAAGTTTTATAGATGTATATATCTCCATGTGTGTGTGCGGCGGATAGCAAGAATTCCTCGTTCCACGCGGAATTAACATCGGGCAAGTTCGCCCGAACGAAACAAAACTTGGAAGTTCGAACATAGTAGGGTGGAGAAGTGGGGTTTATTACATCCAGCATGGGGAAAATTGGCCGAATGGGCTGCCGGATCCTATATAATTAGCACCCCCGTTTCAGAGGGGAGTTTCAGTAAGTGGGGAAAGATAATGATAAAGGTTACAGGAAATCGGACGCTCAAAGTAAAGCTGCACTCTGGATCTGAAACAAGTGCTGAGGAGATACAGCAGGTCAGGAGAACTCACGCTGAAATCGAAATGCTAACTCTGTTTCTCTGTCCACAGATGCTGCCAGACCAGCTGAGTTTCTCCAGCACTTTCTGGGATTGTTAAAGAGGCAAAATAACACTTGGGCTCAATTTCTTTGACTCGCAAACATTTGGTTAACGGGACACAGTCTTACCTCATTTGGTTCTTCGGCCCCCACGCCGATCAGCAGACCATTCGGCCCACCGCCTGCCTGCCCGCCGCCGGCTCTCAGGAACATGAAGTCGCTACTGGCCGATCCCGGGCTCCGGCGCTCGGTGTAACTGTAAATCTGCGAAGGAAGGCGGCCGGCGGTCACCTCGGCACCGGCCACCGGCATCTGGCGGCGCGCCTCGGGCTTGGCGGATCGTCTTCTCCGGGGGAGGCAGCAAGCGGCGGCGGGGCAAAGCCCTCGACCGGACACGGTGTACCGTTGGCACCGGAGCAGAGCCAGTACCAGGATAGCGACCAGGAACAAGAAGGAGACCGAGCCCAGGGACACGATCAGGTAGAGGGTAAGGTCGGCGCTGAGCTCTGGCTCTCCGGTAGAATCAGACCGGGGATCCGGTAACGGAGCGTCCACCGCCGTTAACAGGATAGTGACGGTGGCGGAGAGAGGGGGCAGCCCGTTGTCTTTGGCCTGGACGATGAGAGTTTGCTGGGAAGGGTCTTCAGCACCGAAGCGGCGGGCTAGGCGGATCTCTCCGGTCTGCCGCTCCAGGTGGAATAGTTCCCGGTTGGTAGCCTGCAACAGGCGGTACGAGAGGTGGCCGTTCGGCCCCTCGTCCGCGTCTACCGCGGTCACCTTGACCGCCAGCCAGCCCGGCCCGGCCGAGCGAGGCACCGTCTCCGCCGCCACCGAGCCGTCCCGCGCCAGCGGCGATACAATTACCGGGCCGTTATCGTTCCGGTCCACTATGAGGACGTGCACGGTGGTGTTGCTGCTAAGTGGCGTAAAGCCGGCGTCCTGCGCCTGAATTTGCACTCGGAAGCCTCGGAGCTGCTCGTAGTCGAAGGAGCGGAGGGCGTACAGCCTCCCAGTATCCGAGTTTACCGACACGTACGTGGAGATGGGCATCCCGCGGAGCGGCTCATTCACGATCGAGTAGGAGACGTACGAGTTCTGGTTCAGGTCGGGGTCTTCGGCGCTGACCGAGCAGATCGAGGCGCCCGGGGCGTTATTCTCCGGGACTCGCACCGTGTATGAGGACCGGCTGAACCGGGGAGGGTTGTCATTGACGTCGGAAACCCGGACGGTGACGGTCTGGTTACTGGACAGCCGCGGGGATCCGCCGTCGCTCGCCTCCACCGTCACGTTGTACTCCGGTACAGTCTCCCGATCCAGCCGGTGCTCGGTGACCAGGGTGTAATAGTGGCGGAAAGAAGGCAGCAGCTTGAACGGGAGCTCACCGGTACCAGCCCCGGTACCGCTTAGGCAGCAACTGACCCGGCCGTTAACGCCGCTGTCCCGGTCGGTAACGCTGATCAGGGCGATGACTGTTCCCGGAGACGCGTCCTCGGACACCGGGCTGGACACCGAGGTGAGAGAGATCTCCGGTGGGTTGTCGTTAACGTCCAGTAGCTCCAGCAGAACGTGGCAATGGGCGGCAACCGAATTCGCTCCCAGGTCTTTGGCTTGGACGAAGATCTCATGGACCGGGCAGTCCTCGTAGTCTAACGGAGCGCGGACCCGGAGTTGGCCGGTCTGCGCATCCAGCGAGAACAGCTCCCGTACCGTCCTGGCTGCGTGCTGCCCGAACGAGTAGACTATTCGGCCATTGGAGCCCTCATCCGGATCGGTAGCGTTCAGCCGGAGGAGCAGGGTCCCGGCGGGAACGTTCTCCGCCAGTCTCACGGTGTACACCGGCTGCGGGAACACCGGGGGGTTATCGTTAGCGTCCATGACCCGCACCGTGATGAGCACGCTCCCGGATTTCTTCGGGGAGCCTCCATCCACCGCGGTCAGAACCAGCCGGTGAACGGACTCGGTCTCCCGGTCTAAGGGACGGTCCAGCACTAACTCGGCGGATTGGCGGCGCTCACTCCGGCTTTGTACCTCCAGGACGAAGTGCTCGTTCGGGCTGAGCCGGTAACTGCGGAGGGAATTGGTTCCCACGTCCGGATCGTGGGCGCTCTCCAGCGGGAAGCGAGCTCCCGGCGCCGCCGATTCGGTGATTTCCAACCGGAGCTGGGCGTTCGGGAAACTGGGAGCGTTATCGTTCACATCCAGTATCTCGATCTCCGCCTGGTACAGCTCCAGGGGGTTCTCAATCACAATCTCCAGGTTCAGGAAGCACGATTCTCGCAGTCCGCACAGTTGCTCCCTGTCCACTTTCTCATTAACGAACAGGACCCCGTTCTCCAAATTCACCTCCAGGTACCGTTTCGGGGCCCCGGACACTATCCGGAACCTCCGCGCCGACAGCTCAACCACATTCAAGCCCAGATCATCCGCGATATTCCCAACAAAAGCCCCGTGCTTCAACTCCTCGGGAATAGAGTAACGGATTTGCCCGCTCGCTCCTTCCAAAAAACTCAGTAGAACACACAAGAGAAACTGGGATCCTCCCGTGCCAGCCATATCACTGCCAATCGGCCCGTCTGGACCGAGTCTAGCCCCTACCAGCTGCGCCCTATTTAAGGGGAGTGTGTGTGGAGTGAAATAAAAACTTCTTTTTCTTTTTATCAGATCCTCCAGCTGAGGCTCTGGGATGAGCCGGGACGTTCAGGAAGGTCTAGCCCCCACTGTAAGTCCTGACTCCGGCTCATTGTAGCTCGCCTGTCCGCCCAGCTCGATCTCGCTGATGTATTTCACAGCCCCGGGGATGGCCGGAACACTGCTCCTTGTCTGCTGCTGTGCTGTGTTTAATGGTGAGAATGGCAGGGAGGGAGGGAGGGCAGGGATCTTACCCCCGCCTCCCCAGCTTGCATTTCAGCACCGCAGCAAGGGGAACGGCGCTATTCAGACACTGGTTCCATCAACAGCTCCGGGCGCCTTCAGAAACACAACTGCGATTCGCGGGTCGCGTACGAAGCAGATAGACCGCGTGTCTGTCTCTCCTCCCTCCGCCCATTCATTCAACAACAGCTTCGAGAAATGCTTACCACGTCTCCCCGGGTACCCTCTCACATACTATTGAAGTACATCCAGGACAGTTAGAGTCAGACAGCTATCCAGCGCGGAAACAGACCCTTCGGTCCAACTCGTCCGCGCCGACAAGATTTCCTAAATCAATCTAGTTCCGTTTGCCAGAATTTGGCCTATATCCCCCTAAACCCTTCCTTATTCATATACCCATCGAGATGCCTTTTAAATGTTGTAATTGTACCAGCTTCCACCACTCCCTCTGGCAGCTCATTCCATACACGTACCACCCTCTGCGTGAAAAAGTTGCTCCTTAGGTCCCTTTTAAATCTTTCCCCTCTCACTTTTAATCTATGCCCTCTAGTTTTGGACCCTGGGGAAAAGACCTATTCATCCTATCCGTGATTTTATAAACTTCTATAAGGTCACTCGTCAGCCTCCAACTCTCTGAGGAAAATAGCCCCGGCCTATGCAGCCTCCTCCCTATGGCTCAAACCCTCCAAGTTATGCAGGAGGAATTCATTACCACAAAGCATACATCACTTTTTTTTTTAATTTCATAATTAACCCGGTCAGAAATGCTTTTTAAAAACTTCTGAAGCAGGTGTGACATGGCTCAGAGAGAGGGACACTACCAGTTCACCACATGGGCCCTTATGCTGGCTTCTTGAATGCAAAGGTAAAGCTTAGTGATCTTCAGCCTGATGTGCCAAGTGGATGATCCATCTCAGCCTCCTCCAGTGGTCTCCAGCATCACAGATACCAGTCCTCAGCCAATTCTATTCACTTCCTGTGATGTCAAGAAACAGTTGGAGACACTGGATAGTGCAAAGCCTACAGGCCTTGTCAACATTCTGGGAATAGTACTGACGACTTTTGCTCCATAATTTGCCACTCCCCTAGCACAGTTACAACACTGACATCTGCATGACAATGTAGAAAATTAGCCAGGTGTGTCCTGTACACAAAAAGCAAGACAAATCCAACTTAGCCAAATACCACCCCATCCATTTACTCTCGATCATCAGTAAAGTGATGGAAGGTGTCATCAACAGCGCTATCAAGCAGCACCTGCTCAGCAATAACCTGCTCAGTGATGCCCAGTTTGGGTTCCGCCAGGGCCACTCACCTCCTGACCTCATTGCAGCCTTGGTTCGAACACGGACAAAAGAGCTGAATACTAGAAGTGAAGCGAAAGTGACAGCCCTTGACATCAAGGCTGTATTCAATCGGGTGTGGCATCAAGGAGCCCTAGCAAAACTGCAAACAATGGGTATCGGGGTCAAACTTCCTGCTGGTTAGAGTCATACCCGGCACATTGGAAATGGCTGTGGTTGTTGGAAATCATTCATCTCAGCTCCAAAACATTTTTGCAGGAGTTCCTCAGGTTAATGCCCTAGGGCTAATCATGTTCAGCTGCTTCATCAATGACTGTCCCTCCTTCATAAGGTCAGAAGTGGAGATGTTTGCCAATGATTGCACAACGTTCAGTACCATTTGCAACTCCTCAGATACGGAAGCAATCTATGTTCAAATGTAACAATCTCTGGACAATATTCAGGCTTGGACTGACAAACGCAAGTAACATTCACACCACACAAATGCCAGACAATGACCATCTCCAAAAAGAGACAACCTAACCAACAATGCTTACATTCAAAGCTGTTACCATCATGAATCCCCCACTATCAATACCTTGGGGTTTACTGTTGACTAAAGAACTCACCTGGACTCATCATATAAATACACTGGCTACAAGAGCAGGTCAGAGGCTAGGAATATTGTGGTGAGTAATTCTCTTCCTGACTTCCAAAGCCTGTCTACCATCTACAAGGCACAAGTCAAAGTGTGATGGAATATTCACCACTTGCCTGGATGAGTGCAGCGACAACAACATTCAAGAAGCTTGAAATTTTTCAAGACAAAGCAGCCTGCTTGATTGGCATCACATCCACAAGCATCCAATCACTTCACCACCAATGTTAAATAGCAGCAGTGTGTAGTACCTACAAGATGCACTGCAGAAATTCACCAATTTAAACAGCATCTTCGAAACCCACAATCACTTTCATCTAAAAAGACAAGGGCAGGAAATACATGTTAACAACACCACCTGCAAGTTCCCCTCCAAGCCACTCACCATCCTGACTTGGAAATATATTGCTGTTCTTTCGATGTCACTGGGTCAAAATCCTGAGACACTCTCCCTAAGGGCATTGTGAGTCAACCTACAGCACATGGGCTGTAGCAGCTCAAGAAGGTAGGTCACCACCCCCTTCTCAATGATAACTAGGCATGGTCTATTAATGCTGGCCAGCCAGTGACATCCATGTCCCATGAATGAATGAAAAACACAGGGAGATGCCCTTTAATAATGAATTCTGGTTTCACCCAGCTCCCTTGTCTGTACTTTACATGACTACCATAGTTCAATTTGTAACTGTCTTGAGTCTTTCTAACTTAGTAGGTTACTGATCACACACTAATCTTCCAATGCAATTTGAAGAGGTGCCACATTATCACAGTTACCCTCTTTCCAGGGAAATATGAAATCAACGGCTGGTTAGTCCTCTCAGAGCTCTGCTTCAGAAGTTGTAGACATCAGTCATAGATACATAGAGATCTGCAACACTGAAAAAGATTTTTCGACCCATTGAGTCTGCACCGGTGAAAAGGAAAGCACCAACTATTCTAATCTCGCTTTTCAGCAATTGGCCCATAGCTTTCTATACCTTGGCCTCACAAGTGCACATCTAAATACCTCTTAAATGTTATGAAGGTTTCTGCTTCTACCAGCATTACAGGCAGTGAGTTCCAGATTCCCACCATCCTCTGGGTGAGAAAAAAATCCTCACATCCCCTCTAAAACACTTGCCCATTACCTTCAATCTATGACCTTTGGTCATTGATTCCTCCATCAAGGGGAAAAGTTCTATCCTATCTATGTCCCTTATAATTTTATACATCTCAATCATGTACTCCCTCAATCCTCTCTGCTCCAAGGAAAACAACCCCAGTCTGTCCAATCTCTCTTCATAACCAAAGTTCTCCAGCCCAGGCAACATTCTGACAAATCTCCTCTGCATCCCTTCCATTGTGATCACATCCCTCCTATAATGTGAATTCCAGAACTGTATATAATGCATACAACTATACACAACACTGCTTGTTGTTTGTCTCTAAATCAACACCTGTAGACATACTGATATTGTTTGTTTTAGTTTGTGGGATCTTGTATATAATCTGTGCATTGGGCGAAATGACTATCCCTGAAAAGTGCACATTCATGAAAATTACTTGCTCGCATCCTTGAGTTATTAAAGGCCTGATAAAATGCAAGCATTAATTTCAACTTTGGTGCTATCCCATGCTGTGCCATATCTCAAAATCTTAAAACTTCTATGAAAGTAAATTACATGTGTAATAACACCAAGGAATGTAATTCCAGCTCTGGTTCAGTAGAGTGTAATTTTCACAGCTGAGGACTGGTTACATTTACTGATACATATCTGACTAGAATAGGTGAGGTCATAAGAGCACGAGACTTAGGAGCAGAAGTAGGATATTCAGACCATCAAGTCTGTGCTGCCATTCAATGAGATCATAGTTGATTTGATAACCTTTAACTCCACTTTCCTGTCTTTTCCCCAGAACCTTTGATTCCCTTACAGATTAAAAATCTGTCTCAGCCTTGAATATACTTAATGACCCTCCATTGAAGTTATCTATACATTTAATATTTTTAAAGTTATTACCAGTGTGATAGGAAGTGACTGCATCTTTATCATTATTAATTAATTGTAATATGTGTAAACTTTTAAAAACTACTTCTATGAAATACCCCATCCAACATGCTCACAATTCATTCCATCCAACACCAACACCCAGAAGCTGCAGTGTGGGTCATCTACATGATGCATGTGAACAAACATCTAAGGCTCCTTAATATCACCTTCCAAACTCATAAACTCCACCATATTGAAAGACAAGAGCAGCAGATACAGAGGAAACCCCACCACCTGCAAGTTCCTCACCGAACCACTCATTACTCCAATTTGGAACACTGTAGGGAGTTCTGGTCTGTGTGCTCAGTAACCCTGCTGGAACTCTCGGGCAGCCTGGATCACCACCAGGTCCCTGATTCTGACACTGGACTTAGGTTAGTGAATGTCATAAATCAGGGGGCAGGTGTTTCAGTGCAAAGCATCTCTGCGTTTATTAAAGACAAAAGTGCGTATCTCACAAGAAATAAAAAGGCAAATGTAGTAAATACAGAAATAATACAAAGGTGAATAAATCACAAGAGATTGAAAATTGCAAAACAGTGAAACTGACACTATCAGTTATTAACTATTAACACAGGCCAATTATTATTATAAACTAAAGAGTAGTCTAAATACAGACATTTTAATCAGACTTACTGAGCATTGGGTGTGCTGCACTGTCACCAACCCATCTCCCCCTTCCTGCTAGCTAGGTTCGATACTTTGGGTCTC